TCTCACCAATTTTACAAATTTTAAGTGATCCTATAAAGCAATCTAGGAACTTACTCATAGTATGTAAACAGTGTGATTATGATAGGATTTGAGACTTTCGCAGCGAGTACAATCAGTAAAATCTTCTCGGGCAATCAGCCGCGTCAACTGGTTACCGTAGTAAACCGACGTTTCGGGAACTAACTCTGTCCCCATCATCATGGTTCTGATGTGACTGGATACCTCGGAAGTCGCCTGATACACAGGCGAGAGCGAAAATAAAATGGTACAAATTCTATTATACTGTAGTGACTCATTTACTTAATGTATTTTAAAACAAGTGTCTTAACGTTTATGAAATGTTTACAGAAGTTAATAAAAATGCTCTCCGTTAGTTTGTATGTGTAACTGAGCCCTGTGAACCAAAATTCCCGTTAAGCTGACAAATTCAAGGCACGTGTCGTATTGTAGCCGCTTGAATCAAACGCCAAAGGTTCTGATGCGTGTTGATTATTTTAGAGCAAACTATGTCCGTTAGATGGCAACACAGGTAGAAGTCTGTACTAATTGTTGAGAACAGGAAATTCATACCACACACACCCATGACTAATATCCAAATATTGTCTTCGTTCAACCCCTTGAAATGATTTGGAAACTGCAATTAATTCTCCGCCACCATTTTAGTGGTAGAAGTTAAGTAGTCGCTATTAGCACGAAACACGAAGTTTGAATCAAGAAATAAATTACGATTTATAATAGTGTCATTCAACAATGTTTCGGTAAATTTTAAAGTTGTCATAAACATTATGTAATTACTGTATTTGTTTCTTGGATATCTGACATTTTAACAAATCTTATCAAAATCGCAGTTGTCGAGAACCATAGCCGGTGAGAATCAGAGCCATCTACAGGCGCGGGTGGCAAACTAGTAGCAAGCACAGCACCGGCTTCAGCTGGTTTCGCAGGAGTACTAAAGGAGCACTACCAATGAGATCTGAGTTCCATACAGGCGAGCAATAACGTACCCGTTTGGCAATTATTTGCGAATGGACAAGGAAGAATTTGACATACTCTGATTCCAATCAAATTCAAAGTTGGTAGTAAAAGAAGAATGTTGTATTTTAGAAGAACTTTTTATTTAAATAAGATTTTTTCTATATTAAATTTGTCGGATATAATTCAAAAGTTGACCCGTTGCCATATAGTGACTATTGGTGTATAAACAGTATTTAATACAGAATTTAAGATCAATTCCTACACCAATTTTTACTGTTCCTGCTACTAATGCTTTCTGCTCCTGGAGATGGCTCTGGTTATATTTACGGACAACTGCGATTTTGATATCATTTTTCAAAATGTTGAAGGTCTAAGAAACAAATGTAGTAATTTTACCTTCAATGGTTGATTTGTGATCGACATAAAATCGATAACTAAGCGACCATCGAGTTGTATTACGTTCCGGAATAAAAAACACTCATAAAAGTTGTTTATTTTTTTAAATGTGTATTAGCTACCACCTGCAATCACAAGACCTCATATTAAGTGTACTTACTGTTGTATGTGCGTCTACCATTTTGTTAGTATCTAATTCAATAAATTAAAAATTATAATGGGCTGAACCATGATGGCACAAGGATAATTTCAAGTCTTGTTAAAATCGATCTAGTGGTTGAAGGAGATAAGTATTAATTGATTCTTCGTTAGTCTCAATACTTCTTATATTTCTTTCTCAATTTTGACAATTTTATTCTGAAACACAGCAACTTTCTCGTGTGGAAAGACGTATCATAATCTTAACACTAAGAAAATATAGTGTTACTGACTGAAATGTTCGTTAAAACTATCAGATTTTAGTAAAAAATTTAAATACCTCGACTATTTTTCGTTAAATTCTACAATATCATGTTAATATAAAATGGGTTATCTGTTCTGGAGTTGTCTGATGCGAGCGGAGAACATTTTTAATACATGCCTCTCGGGTTTTCGATCACGTCAAAAAATGGACGACTCCAGATATCATATCTCATATTTTCTTATACAGAAGAAAAGAAACCACCACCGAATGTAAGAATGTACAGAGATTTAAGAGCCAGTGATGTCTTTTTGTTGGTGAGAAATGGAAATGGAAAATTTCGTAATCTGAATTAAACCGGAACGGAACTTTCACGCAGTGTGCGGCAATTTGTTGAATTATTAAACAGTCATGTAACACAACTAGACTTACTGATAATATCCCTCCCAAATGTTTTATATTCTTTTTCTTTTCGACGCTTTCGTGGCGTGACTAGCTTTTGTTTCGTGTAACAATATGGTCGACATGCGCAAGGTGACTGTCGGTGGACTTGAACGAAGTGTAATGAGTATATCACAAAACCAGATCGTGAACACGTCTTTGTTTTGTATATGTTATAAAAGCAGTTACTCTGATAAAAATTCGGAGAAAGTTCGACATTGCTTGTGCGAATAAGAGCATAAGAATGGAACAAATAGTATCTTGTCACTATGTGTTACAAAAGTTTTCTCGTACTACAGTCAAAGTCGGTGCCAGTTCATGAACGTTGTGCTATGTGACAGAACAACGAACAATATCCAAATTCCACAGGAAGTCTTAGGCACTGTACATAGGAGTTATGTGTTCTTGTATTTACGAAATGTAGGAATAATGTAAATAGCCCAATTTCTGTAACTATGATTTAAAGAATGTCTGGCGATTTATGGTTTACAGTGTGGAATACAACAGGTTCTATTAAAAGCCCACACATTTTTAACTCAGTACGACCACGTAGGTCTGCAAAACCAAACATCACAAACACTGGCAATAAACGAGTAAGTCACTGGCAGAGGTACGTAAGAATTAAGTTTCTTTCGTGGACGAAATTAGAACTAATTACATTTTGTTGAATTTTCTCGTTTAATTATCTCTCTAAACAAAAATTTTTTTTAAAAAACTTTCTGGTAATTGAACCCAAAGGATCAATACAACTAAAGACCACTGTCAGGCATGGGTCAGCTTTAAGACGTATTTCCCTAAGTTAAATCAAAATGTTGTCATATTGCATTAGTCTTCCAATTTAACTTTTTAAAATGTGTTCCCACCAGTGTTTTGTAAACATTGTTTACCCTCATATTGACTTATACTCCGCTAGTCATAGATGCCTAGATTTTCTTGTGACCATCGTCCTGATGATGGAGATAGTAAGCACCTGCGAAACATCAGTAAACTTCTTCCAGACTACAAGGCCCAACAACCCAACAATACCAGTTGATCTCTTTATGTAACATAATACATTGCCCAGTTAACTGATTGATCTATTGATTTGTTTACTGTAAATGGGGTGATTGCATAAATGAACTTAACATAGTAGAAACGGATATGCTTCACCTCACATTAGCCGGTTACTTATTAGGTTACATTTCTGCGGACAAAACTTACAGAGATGAAGTGTGTTTATTTTCCTTAAGAAAGATCAGTGTTTCAACAAAGTTTATATTTCACATCATCGTAAAAGAAAAGAATTTGGAAATTCATTCAATTCAACTAGAAAAAAAATACATCTAACTTAATTTTATTAAGCTTGTACGGATCTCACATCAGGTGGGTTTTAAAACTTACAAAACTCTTATTCCAATTAATTCCCCATCATCTCCTGCAACTTTTTCTTCCTTTCCATCACTACTACTACACCTGCTGTTATTACTGTGGTTTTGTATGTTAGGTTAGTTTAGGTTAGTTAGGTTAGGTTAGGTTGGGTCAGGTTAGGTTAGGTTAGGTTAGGTTGTGTTAGGTTAGGTTAGGTTAGGTTAGGTTAGGTTGGGTTAGGTTAGGTGGGGTTAGGTTGGGTTAGGTTAGGTTAGGTTAGGTTAGGTTAGGTTAGGTTGGGTTAGGTTAGGTTTTTTCTGAAATGTCGTCAATAATAAGTTCGAGCCGGAAGTAATTTTGTTCGCACTGATGGGAATTTTTTCACGTCGAACTCCATTCTTCCTCTGTGATGATATCGAACTTTTCCCCAGCGTATCTGGAGGGACTGAGGGAAACTACGAACACCCTCAGTCAAGATAGCCGGTCACCAAGCTCAGATTTGAAACCAAAATGTCCAAAATATGAAGCAGGGGTGCTAACCACTGATCTGTGACATTTATATACATAAAATAGAAATATTACAGTAAAAGGAATAAGAAATTTTGTAATTTTTCTGATTGCGTTTAGATAAATGCGTGATTGCATGATTCTGCACGTAAATATAGCACAGGACTTAAACAATTAAGGTGTTAAAGTTGACAGCATAAATAGCCAAATATGTATTAATCAGAAAATGGAATTGTGTCTCTTAAAACTTTTGTAAATATGAGAGTTACTGCAATTTGCAGCAACATCTTTGACTCATTAAAATGAACTACAACCACAAGAGATCCTATTTCTTTAATAACTTCTCCGCTACGATACGCAAACAGTACAAAGATCTGTTCCTTCTGAAAGCAAAGGGGCCAGTTTATTAGTGTATGTCAAATGTGTAATTGAAGAAAAGTGGCCCTAATATACAGCAGTTGGTGCAGTCAACATTTTATCTCTATGAATTTGGGTTCCTGTATTGTCTATGGATCGCGGATTCCACATGATTTATCTGGTTGTACATCACACTAGTACCTGCTAAACTTTTGACTCAAGACTTAACGTGTGACGTTCACCTCCCCAATTCCAGTACGTTAAAGGTTAATATTGGCACTCTCAAAATTAAAGACTACAGACCTTTCCAGCAAACTGTCATGAGGATAATGAACCACAGACTTTAAACCACTGATGTAACATGTTTTGAGTGTGTATAACTGTATTTTGTAGTGTTTGCTTTGTCATGTGAAATTCGAGACATGAAAAGACTTCAACACACCTTTCTTAATAATTCATGGAAAAGATAAGATATATCACCTTACATCATCCTGTTGTTATAGTCACTAATATGTAATCTAACCTCTGAAACTGAATAATATACATGTAATTGATAATGTGATATCTTCCTTTTCAGCACTTCTGTTCATATTTTACATGCAACACTCCTTTCATTGTTCACCATCTGTGGTTCCAGGGGTAAGTCTTTGTTTTATCATAAGTTTTACTGTACAATATCGACTCAGTTCCAGCGAAACTAAACACCATGTAGGTAGTAGGACACTGCACTCAGGGATACATAATTTTATAGTCTTGATTTGCAACCAGAAAGTATTACCACGACAGTGGAAAGAATCACTTGTTGTCAATATCGATAAAACTGTGACTTCTGAGGTATCTCTCTTTTGTCAACGTCATACAGAATTTTATCGAATATTCTTCTGGTACTGTTAACGCCATTTACGAATGAAATTATCGGGGACGATCAATGTGGATTCAACTGTTGATCAGATCTTTTGCATTCGACAAATATTAGAGAAAAAGTGGGAGTATAATGGGTTAGTTCACCAATTATTTGTGGACTTTTGGAAGGCCAGAAGACACAGCGTTTTTCC